AAAATGAATAATCAGTAGCAATAACAGGTCAAGCGTTTAAAAAAATAAAAAACAAGGTAAATCTGACGGCCACAATCTTCAAGCAGAAGCGCGAATTATAAATCATGACTCAAGCTTCCTCTAAAACTGTCTGAGTCATTCTTATAGGTTCGTTTGGCACATCGAATATATTTCAAGACTTTTATATTCGCACTGCGATTTTCACGTTATAAAAATTCACTATTGAAAAGAGAATCGCCTAGGACAAAATGTGAGGGGAAAACTTAAATCGATATAATGCAATTATATTCCTATATTCTTTTATCAAGTTTTGTGTTTTTCATATAAACATAACTGATTAATATCGATTAAAAATCGACAAATTTTGAATTTATTTTTTTATCGTAATTTATCTTGATCATACTCTTGTCACTTCTCTGCCTTTAATTTCGATTAAATAAAATTTTTAAAGCAGTCGCATTATGTTTAAATGTAATTAAAAAATTGAAATAATTTAAAAATGTATATTAAAGGGAATTTTTAACGAAGTGTGATATTAAATTAATTTTAAATACAAATATGTTGGTCTATGCTACTTTATATATTCATATATTAATTTCTTTTTTAATTTAATTATGAGCGCCAAATTATATCAGTAGAGAATATTTTTTTAAAAACAAAGACCTCCTCAAAAATAAGCAATAAAATTTGTTCTAAGTGTTTATTGTTTTGTAATTATTGTTTGGAATACATGAAACTCACTTGACACAGATCTCATTTTAAGGATGTAATTTCAGCAGTACTTTAGTATTAAATAACGAAATGAAATTACATTGTAAATTCTGCAGCTCTGGAATTTATTATTCGATTAATCGCTACAAAGCTTTGAACCGTTTCAAGCAACGAGAATGCTCGCTGCAGAAATAATTTGTCCCCCAGAGTAAGGATGTTTCGAATGTCTTTCTCTCTATCTCTTAGCCAGCGTTTAGACATTTCGTTCCGAGATAAGTAAGAAGAGAACGCGGGCACAGATGAGTCAGACGTTTCTCCTTAAACTTTCTAATATCGTTTAAGAACTCGCAAAAGATGCGCTTCCTGCTTACAATTCTCGACCGACAATAATCGACCGAAGCAATATTTGGCGACTCGAAAAAACGGCAAATAATCGTGGAAACACTTTACATTTTGATGCCCAAAGGTTAATCGCATGTCAAGCATTTTCTCATTCGTTAATCGTTTGTGCGGAAAGTATGGGTGATAAATGAGTACGTCAGGGAAAAGTTACAGGCATAATTGCTTGATGGGAACCATGCAGTCACGTGCGCCACTTTATTTATGAGATGTGGAAGAATGAATTCACGTGAGGCTCGCGCGTGTATCATTATTATGAAATATTCGAATAATTATAGTATGCAATAAAAGCTGAGAGCAAAACGATTCAACAGTATTGTGAATAATATTATATGTACAGATGTTAACTATTAACAGATAATTAATGGATATTATTCTATATTTGACTTTAAATTCGAAGTTTCTCTAAAATTATATTCTCTAATATATCTCTCTCTATATGAGATAAATGTTGCACTACAATTTAATATCATAAATTATATCTTCTGGGTCAGCCATTAATATGTAGATATTAATAAACGAGAATTACTAAAACTAATAATTCCGTTGAAACATATATTAGTATATATGTATATGTATTATTGTATTACAGATCTATTGATTTATATAACATGAATAATTTATATTTAGTTTATGCAATAACACATTTTGAATTTTTAAATTGTAAAATTATTTTATGCAAATTTTCAATCAAATGTAAGTCATTTGCGCAAAATGTAAGTCAAATTTATTTAATAATTCATATATCATCGTTTTTTATAAAAAATATTATCTATGAAAAAACATTATAAAGTTTACAAGCAAAATAGTGATGTAATATGCCATAATAGAAATTCCTTTAACTAATTTAACTATCATCGGGTCAAGGGTTATTACATAATGTAATATGCAATTCTAAGTTTTCGTCGAGCTTTTAAGGATTCTCGAATGTGCGATCTCTTTTAAATAATAAAATGCATTACTATAATTAGAATCGTTACGTTACTAGTAAGAATTAGAATTGTTACGTCAAATATTAAAATTGTAGAATAAATTTTTCGCAGAAATAAAAAGAATATCGGCTATTTTATTCCAATTATCTTACAACTTCCTATTATATAACATTATAATTATATCAATGAAAATTACAAAATAAAAAAATTTATTTGATCAGAGATAAATTAGTGAAAAATGAAAAAATTGAATTATCTCAGTTCTCGTGAAAAGTTTCCATCAATAAAACCATCTTTATTGAAATCGCGCTGCGATTCCAATGGAAAATTTTTACCTACAAAATACTCCATTAAATCTCCATTTATTTCTCCGACAAATCAAATCCCGAAACGAAGAAAAAATCAAATTGATTTTATTTCGCACCTTCAAGAGCGAACAATCAACAGCACTCATTAAAGTTTGCAGAATCGAATGCGCGCAAATTCGCCATCGTAATATTTCATGCATTTCAATGAACGACATTTTGGAAATAGATTTATTCTTGTGGCAAGAAGGAATAGAGAAATTAATTGCACTCGAAAACTATAAACTGAATTAACATCAACAAACACGTTTCTCTCCCTTTTTCTCCTTTTCTCTTTCTTTCTCGTTCTACATAAATATATTGCTGTTGATTGCGAAATTGACCAATTAACAATGGATATGTTGCAAACATCAATATCTCGACTGCGTATCAAATGTTATAAAAACTCATCTTGTATTTTCACCATTATATGTTTCACAATATAATTAATCTTTAATCTATACGAATAATAATTTACATGTAATTTTATAATTATGATATATTATGTAAATATTAAAAAAGATATACTTTTATATATTAAAAGATGTGTTATAAAATATAAAACAATATTATATTTAAAAATAAAAATTAAAAATGCTTCATCGTACACATATAAAATATTGATGTCGCAAAAATTTCTATCGAGAAAAATCAATCTCAGATTTAGAATTTACATTTAAATTTCACTTTTACAATGAAATTTCCATTTACAAATTCCTGAAATTTATAGACTGAAAAAATCATATTATTTTATCTTTCTTTTAATCAATCATAAAAGATATAATAAATTCGAATATAATTTAGAGAATCATTAATACATAATTAAACTAGTAACACCTCTAATGTTAATGTGTTAATATTCAATCTGATATAAATCGCATACATTATGCAGTTTTCAACCGAAGTATTTTTTTATGTCATGATATAATGATACCTAAATAACAATCATAAATCATATGTGTATCAGTGATCTCTGACGTGACTGTTCCCACACGTGTGCAATTTACAAATCTCATTTTACATATATCTAATGTTACTAACCAACGAATAGAATTTCATCAAAACGAATGAAACAATTTCAATTATTGGTGCGGACGAACGAACAAAAAACCTAATTGATAGAAAATATGTTAATCGATATATCAAATGCCGTTTTACTGATATAAGAAATTGCTGTCTTTCTCAACAAATAATTATATAAACAATAAGAAACTATTTTTTTTGTTATTTTTATTTAATCCATGAATATATTTATTTCTTTTTGCATAAGTTACAAATGATTTTTTCCGCATCGTAAATTATTGATGACACAAGTTGTCGTTGCTAAGAGGTCAACATTTGAAAAACATCTTACATATATATATTTCGAGAGAATTCTCTTTCATGAATACATATGCGTTGTTTAGTTTATAGTTGAGTCGCCTTAAGCGACTCTATGCCTTATTTTTAGCTCTTTAAAGCAACGTCAACGGAACTGGCGCATGTTCGTTCTTACATGAATATCCAGGGCAATAAATCTGTACTTAGCTACTCAACAATCGCTCCAATTGACATAGACAAACCAATACTTGAGTAAAATGAAAATTGCGTCGCAATAAAACACGATGAAACTAGATCAATCAAAATTAACTATTATATTAATTATTCTATCATAAGAAACTATTCTGTTATAACCTCTTCAAGGAAAATACAAAATAATCTACGTAGAGCGGAGTTAAGAAAGTCAAGATCCATCTCGTCTAACTTTGGATAATGAGATGTTAATTTCAAAAATGTTCAATACAGTTAATTACAGATTTGTTTTTCTTTGAAAAAAGTTTTTATTAAAAACTGAGAAAGATAATTTGTCATCTTCCCTTTATAATATCGATAATTTTTTTCATAATATTTTTTGCAGATATGTAAAAGAAAAAAAAGCAGAAAAAAGAAAACAAATGATTCGATTCATCTTGTGAAATAGTTCATCAATGTATTTTTTAGTATGTTTGAATTACTGCAGAATTCATTAATTAAATTTGATTATATCGTAATTATATATATTTATAAAATTCAATAATTTTATTCTATTATTTTTTTTTTATTTTTTTTATCTATAGAAGTTATTTATTTACTTATTTAGTTACTTATTTTTTTTATCTATAAAGATGAAAAAGTTTGCTCCAAAAAACATTAATATGTTCATGGGTTTTATGTTATTATAACAGATAATATTTATTGTTATTATTGAAAATATAAAATATCACAAGCTCATAAAAAATATATCATATTTGATCATAATAAAACTAACCTCTTCGCGCTTTTAATTTAATTTTACATTTTAATTTAATTTTGCATTTTTTAATTTAAAGGAAAAAATAATGAAGACTTTTAATGAAAAACTAATTTCTCAGAAAAGCAAAATTGATAATTATTTTCTATTCGATAGATATATGATAACCAAATAGCCATTATTACAGAATGTAAAACTGAAAACGATTTGCACACAGTGGATGATCACAAACGTAAATGTAAACAAAATTTGCAATTCAAAGTTTGTGAAGGGTATGCAACGATTATAAATTCGACTCAACTAATATTTCTATGAATAATATCTAAAAATATCTATTTTACTTACTACGAGCAGATCTGGACGTTCTGTTGTCGAAGACGGCAGCAACGGCTCCGCATTATCGGCTTCGCGTACCTCTACTTCTGTCTCCGTTTCTCTATCGCACTCCTCCACGATGAGATGCTTGAAGTTAGCGGCCGGTCACTCGCGCGTTCTAACCTTTGTCTTTTTCTCGCGCACCGTTTCTCTATTCCCTTTCCTTCTTGCACGTTCGCGCGATTTGCACTACACCTGCGGGGCACAACACACGGTACCCATGACGACGTTCTCTCTTACATTAGCACTTATGACTATGTGCGGTAATTTTCAGCTCGCCCCACACCAGGGTTCCCCGAGTGAGTTTGTACAACCGACGGAATTAAATACGCGTGATATATTAAAAGTGCGGCGAGGAAGCACGCGGTTTTGGCTAAGATTTGGCGCCAAGTATTTGGCGCGCGGACGAAAACCACCCTCACTCGATGACGGTCGGCGCGCTACTGACTCTCCGCACAGGTATAGCGACGGCGCACACTTTTCAAGCTCCCGAGACAGCGCGCGCATGCGCCGCGTGCATGCGCCGCGCGCATGCGACGTCGCAGTAAAAGGCGAAAACGCGCGATCCGCGTTCCTGCGGTTTACGAATGGAAGATTTAGTCAGAAAATAATGCCGCCTATTTGTCGAGCCATTCATCTCTCATCTGTAAGTAGTATTTATTTCCTTCGTCGCACAAGTTGTGTGCGAATAAGAAATAATATTAAACCTGCGCAAATCATCAGTGATGTACGATCGGAAATGTCTGATAAAAATGTGACATTTCAGACGCGCGTTATCTGTAAAATATGTCTTCTTATTTATATCGATGATAGTCCTTGTGAGAATCGACAGAGTGATTAATTATGCATAAAGGTATACATATTCCAAACTTCATAAAGGTATACATATCCAAACTTCTTTAAGTAAATTTAAATTTTATAAAATTTATAGTGATTGACGATCAATGCAGGTTTCGAAGTATATAGGTTAATATAATAATGCGTATGATATATTTTATAAACGTTTTTAATGGATGCTTTTCGTTTGAAAATTTTATATTTAACACTTACAAAATTTTTGCATTTTAAATTCCCAATTGATTTGAATTGACAGTAATCTTAAAGAAAATTACAATTTTTTTATCATAACCTATAAGAAAATAAACACGCTCGGAACATGATTTCTACGACTTGCTAGAGATAATCGGCTTGGAAAAAATTTATTATTAGCTATTCGTGGATTACGTATTCGCGCATACGATCTATACCGTGAATGGAATTCTGGTAGTAAAAGGCGGAAATTCATGGCAGGATAATGTCATGAATATACAGCGCATAACGCAATATCTATTGTTCTTCGGATTTTCCTGAATAACTGCCTTTGAATGTGCCAACGCTATAGATTACGTTTAAGCACAGGAAGAAAAAGAGAGAAAAAGAAATAATAAAAGATATTCACAAAGTGAAAATCTGATAAAGTCTCAAAGTGATTAATTAAAATTTAATACGGTAACCAATTTATTATTATAATAAAATTTATTATTTATTTAAATTTACTATTAATTAATATTAAAATATGTTAATATTTCTAAAAATATTTTATCGATGAATATCATATTTTAATAATATAAATTGAAAAAAAACAAGGAAATAAATTGTTTTTATAGCAAATCCATATGTCGAGCACAGTAATATAGTATACGTAACATAATATTTATTTTGAATTAAAATACTGTCATAAAATATGATCAATGCGCTACACATGTTTTATAATTTGCACACATTTTTTTCTTGAACTATTTGAAAACACAAATTAATATGAGAGGGAATCGTTATTTGTCATCTTTAAATAAAATTTTGACATTGAAGAGACATGGTGAAACTTAGTCTTATATATTACACAGTAGTTTTTCTGCAGGCGCAGATGGTAATTATCTGCGAATGTATATATACTTATATGTATATGTGGATATACTAGGAAAAAATATTAAGTTATCGGTGTGCATACTATTATGCTCGTCTTTTCGTTACGTGCTTTGCCTTTGAAAATTGTATATACAGCACCGGAAATCAAGCACGTGACAGTAGTAATCGTTCTTTGCTGTATTGTTTTTAAGTTAGATAATTGCTAGGATCCGCTCAATTATTATATTAATTTTAATGAATGAATTACTTTAATAAAGAATACTTTTCACAAAAGTGTATCATTAAACGTGAATAAATTTCAAAATTCTTTTCAATTCTTGAAATTCCTAATATTTAACAACAACAAAATGCGTGGAACAATATTTTTTGAATATTCTATAAAATTTGATTAATAAATTTAAAGATATATTGTATTAAATTCCGAGCAATTATCTAAAAACAAAAATTTACAGATTCAAAAGGGTCAGAATAAATTTTTCTAAATTTTTGTTCAACTTATACTTTCAATTTTCCACAAAATTTCGCACAGATTTGTGTCGGTTGCGTTTCACGTGACGGCGATATGTGAGACCGTTGTGATTTTTATTTTTTGCGTAAATCACTTCACTCTGACATCCACATGACGGCACAGGAGAATGCACTTTTTTTTCGCGCGTCTGTTACATACATAAGGCTTTATCGCACGTACACGCGATAAAATGCGAAAATTCGCTGTATATTCGTTTTGACTCATGCCTTCCCTAAGTTAGGTATTCGAAAATTATATTTGCTGCTTACGATCATTTATTGACGAACTTATTTAGAACTTTAAAGCTTTCTTATTATCCTACGTCACAATTTTAATAGTTTACTAGTCATTATTATATATTGTATATTGTATATGTCGAGAAACTTTTCATATGATCGTATATTGAATACCATTACAATTGAAAAACGTAGCGCGGATGTTGCGAAAAAATTTATGAGCGACCTTAGTTCTCTCTACAGATATAATTACACTTTAAAACTTTCTTCTTAAGGTTATTGCGCAGTAACGAAAAGTTTAATAACTTTCTTCTGCGCGAATTGATTAGTTATATGAAGAAAATTCTCGCGATATTTATTATGCAATAATGTTTCAAAAATTGAATCAAATGTCCTGTTCGCGTATAGTTTCGAAAAAATTAGGAATCACTAAAAAAATGTAAGATATTTACACAAGAATGCTTACTATTTCATTTCGTATTGTTATCTACGTATATATTTAACAAATGTTATATGAGCGATTTAAAATTGCTAACTTTCTATGAACAAAACTGACAACTATAACGCAATCGATTTCTACAGTGTCAGTGAGCATGAAAAATATAACTTGATCGATTACATTTCTCAATGCACTAGTCACATTTTTAGATTACTGTAATCATATTTATTGCAAGATAATGCTAAAATAAGAATTTCGCAACACGTTTTTTTTAATAGACTCGAAAAAACAAGCTATTGCTCAAAAATTTGTATTTGCCAATAAAAGAATAGAAGCGTTTAAGCATGACGGATAACAAAAAATTAATTCCTTTATTTAATGATCCACGGATGTGCGGTTCGAGTCCTTGCACGCATAATTCGATCCATAGATCATGTTAAGTGAATCGTAAAGCGAGTTGTTTGATGAACATGCTTGACAAGCATCGACGAATTGTCAGTTCATTACGCAATCTCGTTACTTGATTTATATAGGTAAAATCGATAACTCATATGAGTCAGTGCTTACACTCTGCAGGTGTGTATTTAGGGGATTCCACAAATCAATCAAAACAATGATATATGTCTGTTCACATTCACATTGTATAATATATAATTATCTTGCGTGTTATTTTTTTTAATTACTCATTATTAAAAAGGAATTTTATAAACGCTGAAAACTAAAGTCTAAACTAATGTTTTTAGTATTTAATAATTTTATAAAAGAAAATCTTCTTATAATAGTATAAGAAATATAAAAAAAAGAAATATTTTTTTGTAGCGTACAAATATAAAAATATAAAATTTAAATTTCAAAATCATCATTGAATATTTTAAAAGTAAGATATATTGCGATTTTTTAAATTAGTAAAATTTATTCAAAAAGCTGAAAGTTTTTCTTTTATTTTGTTACTAATATTTACGTTTATTTTTTGAATTTAAAATTTTTATAAATTCCAAGGATTTATAATCATTTATGCTTTATAATCAGTTATATAACAAAATTACTAACATTTTAAAATTAAATATTTAATAAGACTAATCTTTCTCTTTACATATTTATTTTCCAATGGATCTATATTATATTTATAGAAAACATTCTTATTTATTTTTATTTAAATGTTATTTTTATTTATTGTTATAAATTTTGTTTAATATAAGAATTATATAAATGATTTAAATTGTTAGAAATATATACAATAATAACTAAATTGCTGAACTCAATGCGCAATTAATTTCGCAAATAATGAATAATAAAATAAATTATATATCTCTAACTTTATAATTGTTCTACTGTCGCTCATTTGTCTTGTTTCTTCTTCTATCTTATTAATCCTTTGTTGGGTCTTGATGATATTTGCACAACACTCACTCGCAAGAAACATGATGATTATTTGCACATTAATCACTAGAATACAATAGTTGCGTGTCGTTTCACAGTATATTTAGCACTTTCAACGTTAATCGCATAAACGATGCGAATCTTATTATATTATAATGAAAGAATAACACGAAAATTACGATCGCACGAAGCTACAATCCGTTCAATATTCGAAAATTGTGCGGACAAATGTATTTGTAATATGGCACTGATATCACACACGAAGCAAAATATTTAGCTCGAAATATTGTTAAAGAAACAATTATTGTCCGAAAAAGAAAAATTTTGTAATTAAACTAATTTATAATTCTTGTCTTTTCGATTTTTAAACGTATAAACCTTACGGGTCATCAATTGCGAGAAATAATTAATTATGTAGATTGATAAATTAATTGCTCACAGTGAATGATCGCATTTGATATCTCGTAATACTTGTCGCGTTCGCATTCAGAGAGATACTAACAATGAGATGAGACAATGAGATATACGGAACGTCTCATGAATGATAACAAAGCGACTGAGAATGACAACAAAGCGACCGCGCATGAATAATAACAATGTTATACGTCACGGAAGGTGAAAATTAAGTATAACATAACAGTTAAATAATACAAATTTTAAATATTTATTTTTGCGAAGTATACACATTTTATGTGATAGTTTTTTTGTTGTCATTCGTGCGACGAGATTTGTTCGTATGTGTGTCATTATCCTTCGAAACGCGATCAGAAGATACTCTAATTTGCAATTACATTTACTATAATCATTATAATTAGTCATTATCAACGAATAATTAGTTTCCGCGTAATCGTTAACATCATTTATGTCTTTTTACGTCATATTTGCGTCTATTTATCAAAGCAAATTTCGCACGATTGATTTAAATAAGAATTGAAGCAATAAAATATGACAATATATTATCAATTTATTCAA